TAGCTTATATCAGTTATTGTTACTTATTATTGATAACAAATTCATATAACCGGGCCAAGATATTATTCTTACTAACATCAGTGGTATAATAAAACCAGTGGTCTCGTAACCGGGAGTTCCCGGATTCGAAACCATAGCCAATGCGCCCGTGCCTTTCGGTAAAGCATCAACCCTCATTACAGATTCCCTGAAGGGAGTTCAAGTCGTCGGTCCCCTTTTTTGCTCACCTACAAGCATGAACATGCCTTTTTAGAGGCCAGTTAAAACTTTCATCTAACATTGAGAGTAATATCGTATTACGAAAAAGGTAGACAATAACTTTGACACTAGATAAAAATCTAAAAATCATGAATTTCGTTCGTGATTCTTACCTTTGCATTCATCTGACGACATGTAGATAGAGCGGACATTGTGAAAGTCGATAAACGAGAAATATGACTTCGACTTCGACCTCGAACTGCAATAGCTTCCTGTGCGACAGAGAATAAGTTTTGTCAGTCAACAAGTCTTTTAACCATCGACGTCCAGAGTTAAACCCTTGCCTGGTTCGTTGTCCTCAGGTCCCTCGTACACGCTTATATCTTTGTCTGTTTCACTTTATACTTAACGTCTCTCTCTCTCTCTCTGTCCACCAAAACAGAAATAAACAAAAAATGCAAGAGAAACGTCTTTCACACCGGTTGCAGCAAAGTTGTGGAACGACCTAGCTAATAACGTAAAAACAACTTCGTCTGTTGGCCGTCTGTTGGCAAGATCAAGAAAATTCCGAAGTCAACTTCTTTTTGCCTCAAAGCAATGGACTGCAAAAACTCAACTGGTGCTGGTTTTGAAAAAGTTATTTTGATGTGACGCGACGTGAAGCAAAAAGGAGTAACGGTGGATGTAGTACTTTGTCATTGCATCATGGAGGCACTGCATCAAATGCATATTGCATTAGATTTGATTGGATGTTGAGTTGGCCAATGCTACATGTACGTAACAATGAGTTATGACTGCGCAGATAGCGTGTGCGCAAAGCATTATGTGAGCGCGTAAGAGCGAGCTCTCGTTGGGGTGCAGGGTCATAGCACCCGATACCAATACAGTTACAGTAAAGTATCGAAGCAGATTACCCAAAGTTGCTCAGTAATATCAGAGCAGAATATGTAATCTGAAACCCAGGTGACAAAGTTGCTCTGGTAATGAACTGGAACTATTGTCACCTAGGTTAGATTTATAGAACAGTAGTGAACTGTAGGATTGAGTAATTTGTGCGCCCTGATAGTACACTGGTCTGATGAGTTTTCTTTACTCCAGACTTGACCTATTTTTAATCGCATGGGCAATGAAAATATAAATGATATAAAATAAAACGCGTGCATGCTCCTCTGTGTAAGTTGTTCATGTTGTTTAATGTTCACTTATTGATTTAGATTTTGTTGGCACTGACATAACTTTTTTTAATTCACTTTTTTAAATATTTTTAGGGGGGTAGGGGCAATGCTTCATGCATGGATAAACAACGAATTAAGCAAGATCATAGCTTTAAAAGAACCTAGCGGTAAAGAGTACCAATTGATCACCAAAACAAAGGTTGTAGTGAAGTTAGGAGTTTCATTTGTTCATAGGCCGATTGTATAACATTTTAAAAGAGCTATACATTGATATTACCCCTATTTATAAACCCTCGATTAACATAAAATCGTCTTGTGAGTAGACTATTACCTCTTACTTAAATGTTATCCAGATTACGGTAGCCACAGTAACGCACTGTTCCTCTTTATCACCTGTGAGTATTATAGTGTCTCTCCTTCTTTCCTCGTCCCCTTCTATTCTCTCGATCCCTCATCCCCATTCTCCTTTGATTTTCCCCTGCCCCCCCCCCCCCACCCCCCATGCACCCCTTCAGCCATTTCCCTCTCTTCGCCGTAAACCCAATCATCTTTCCCCCATCCTCTCTAAACTCGGTCTTCCGCCGGTTTGCTTGCTCATCCCTCCCCTCCTCCCCTTGCCTTACCGCTTCCCTTCTCTAGCTCTCTGTTTACCACTCTCTCCTTCTTTCTTCTCTCCCCTTTCATTCTCTCCTTCCTCATTCTCCTCCAACTTTCGTCTTCTACCTTTAATTCGCTCTTATCCGTTAATCCCAGTTTATCCAATCCTTTCCCCTAGTTCCTTCACTCCCTTTTCCCAAACCTTCATCAACTCATTCTCCAGTCGGCCTGCTTATTCCGCCACCCGCCCCCCCCCACTCCTCAATCTTCCTTCCCTCCACCCCGCACGCGCTCCTTCTCCCTCTCTCTTTCCCTTCACTATCCTGCGCTAGCTCTTCTTATTTCCCCTCATTTCCTAAACGCTCCACGGAGTATACGCCCTTATTCCCTTACCCGGCCGGCCGCCCTCTTAAATCCAAAAGAATGCCCCCTTTCGCCTTCTCCCCACCTCCGCTCCCTTTTCTCCGCGTCTTATTAATGTTGGTCCCTCTCTCGATCCCCCTTTCTCCCTGCTTCCCCTCTCAAGGCGCGGATCCAGGATTTCTTAGGGGTGGGGGCCCATTTTTTTTTCTTTTTGCTCCCGGAAATTTGAAAATCGCGCCAGCCGAAAATGCGCTCAGTGGGGGGTTGGGGGGGGGGGGGGGTGGCGGGTAGTAGTGAGCACATTTTTTTGAGGGGAAGCCCTCTAAAATTTGCATCCCCCCCCCTCCCCCTTGAGCGCCAGGGGGGGGGGAATCTCCCCAAAAAGGTAAAATTAACGTGTTTTTACACGTTTTATTTTTGAAGGGGGGGGGGACGGCCCCCCCCCCCCCGATCCGCCACTGCCCCTCTCTTACATCGCTCTCTCAGCTCCACCGTTCCTCTCTGTTTCCTCTACTTTTTGTTCCCCCTTTAACCTCCCCTTAGTGGGGTAGTGAGCACATTTTTTGGGGGGGGAGGGCCCTCTAAATTTTGCCCCCCCCCTTGAGCGGCAGGGGGGGGGGGGGCGTGGGGGGGGGGTAGGGTAAAATTAACGTGTTTTTACATTTTTATTTTCGAAGGGGGCCCCCCCCCACCCAGATCCGCCACTGCCCCTCTCTTACCTCGCTCTCTCAGCTCCACCGTTCCTCTCGCTTTCCTCTACTTATTGTTCCCCCTTTAACCTCCCCTTAGTGGGGTAGTGAGCACATTTTTTTTTTTGGGGGGGGCCCTCTAAATTTCCCCCCCCCCTTGAGCGGCAGGGGGGGGGGGGGTAGGGTAAAATTAACGTGTTTTTACATTTTTATTTTCGAAGGGGGCCCCCCCCCCCCCACCCCCCCACCCAGATCCGCCACTGCCCCTCTCTTACCTCGCTCTCTCAGCTCCACCGTTCCTCTCGCTTTCCTCTATTTTTTGTTTCCCCTTTAACCTCCCCTTAGTGGGGTAGTGAGCACATTTTTTTTTTTGGGGGGGGGGGCCCTCTTAATTCCGCCCCCCCCCCCCTTGGTGCTCAAGGGGGGGGGGCGGGGCATCTCCCCCAAAAGGTTAAATCGACGTGTTTTTACACGTTTTATTTTTGAAGGGACGGCCCCCCCCCCCCCTCCTCCCCGGATCCGCCACTGCCCCTCTCTCACCTCGCTCTCTCAGCTCCACCATTCCTCTCTGTAGAGGAAAGCGAGAGGAACGGTGGAGCTGAGAGAGCGAGTTAAGAGAGGGGCAGTGGCGGATCTGGGTGGGGGGGGGGCCCCTTCGAAAATAAAAATGTAAAACACGTTAATTTTACCCCACCCCCCCACGCCCCCCCCCCCTGCCGCTCAAGGGGGGGGGGGCAAAATTTAGAGGGCCCCCTCCCAAAAAAAAAATGTGCTCACTACCCCACTAAGGGGAGGTTAAAGGGGGAACAATAAGTAGAGGAAAGCGAGAGGAACGGTGGAGCTGAGAGAGCGAGGTAAGAGAGGGGCAGTGGCGGATCGGGGGGGGGGGGCCGTCCCCCCCCCCCCCACCTTCAAAAATAAAACGTGTAAAAACACGTTAATTTTACCTTTTTGCGCTCAGTGGGGGGTTGGGGGGGGGGGTGGCGGGTAGTAGTGAGCACATTTTTTTGAGGGAAGCCCTCTAAAATTTGCATCCCCCCCCCTCCCCCTTGAGCTCAAGGGGGGGGGGGGGCGGGGCATCTCCCCCAAAAGGTTAAATCGACGTGTTTTTACACGTTTTATTTTTGAAGGGACGGCCCCCCCCCCCCCTCCTCCCCGGATCCGCCACTGCCCCTCTCTCACCTCGCTCTCTCAGCTTCACCATTCCTCTCAGTTTCCTCTACTTTCTGTTCTCCCTTTAACCCCCCCCCCCCCCATTAATTCCTCTTTTTCCCCCTGCTTTCAGAGTCTCCTCATTGTATATTATATCAACTCCCATTTCTTGGCCTTCCTCCTCTTTCAGCCTAACATCATATATCGGGCATATATCATTATTATTGTCCCACTCATTTCTAGCCCTTCCTCCATTTTCTTCCCCATTTCATCCTCTTTTTCCTCACTCAATCCATCTCCTCCCTTCTTCCCTATTCTACTCTATATACCTCTCTCTTCTACCTCCTGCTCCCGCCCTCCTTTACCCCTCCAATTCTGTTTTCCACACTCAGTCTCCTTCTCACCTCGTCCCCTTCTATTCTCTCGATCCTCCTTCCCCACCCTCTCTAAACTCATTCTATCGCCTCATTCGCCGTCTTGCTCATCGTGTTGATATAGGTGATATATTACTATATTATCCTTGTCTCCTTATGTAGAAAACAAAACCTGTTACAATACAAAATATGGGGCACCTATCCCTCTTCACCAACCTCTCCCCGAATCAAAGAATATGTACAACTCATGGTTGGGAGGAACAAAAATTTAAAGGAATCAATGTTACTGATCATGCTGAGCTTATAATGCAGTCGCTTGTCTTCACACATTCTTTATATATGAAACAGCCCGGCAACTGAGTGGCCGGTGGCCGCCTATCACACTGCCCAAATCGCGTTCCAGAGAAGAACAAAGTCCACACAAAGAAATAAAATTCTCGACAAGAGTCAAGTGTTGAAGTGGATAGTAACTTTATTACAATTTATTACATATAATCATGAAAAGTCACATCTATGGGCTGGAAGCCCCCAACTCTGCTAAAACTTTAGCACCTCATGGCGGCAAAGGAAATGAGGTATGAAACAAAATGAGGAAGTCATCCGAAAAGTAAAAGCTCGTGCCAAAACCCATTTTATACCTTCTGACACGTGTGTCGCCCCTTAATAGGGCGTGTCACTACGAGGCATTGCGTCAAATTAATCCCTGGAACCATATACACCCATATTAAAAGGAAATTTAATAATTTTGCGAACTTAACCTCCAGAGTTGAGCTCACCGGACCCACCATTACTCCTCTACAATCCATTGATGTGTATTGCATGTAGTCCACAGTCAGGAGGGTCACAAACCCCTCTACATGTACATCCACTGTCACATCTTGATTCTTGAGATGAACTCGGTAGAAGTATCCACATTGTTTTGGAGTTGCATGCTCCTTCTGGTGACTGTTCCCCCCTTCAGCTACTAGTACAGAAAAGTCCAATGGCATCCTTGTACGCAATTCCGACAAGCCGGCTGTTCATGAATAAAATATAAACTATTTTCAAATAGTATACAACTTTAGGAAGTCAAGCTGACATCATCAGTGTATTTCTTCTTCTTTTTCTTCTTGTTCTACTTCTTCTAGTAAGTAATCTTCAAAGAGTTATTCGTTTTATAAAAACATATTGTTCGTTCGACAGGAGTACATTCCTTATTTTCCATGCTTATCAGCCCAACGACAGATCCCAGATAATTATAATAATACATGGTCTTCATGGTCTGAAATGAAATTACTGTATTACCAAACATGCCTTTCATTACTAATATACTACGTTTGCGTAAAAGATCTAATTAAACATTCAGACCATTGTTTTTATGTTTAAAATCACCAATCCAAACGTTGAACTTGGGTTACTGTTGTTAAGAAAATATATTGTGAAAGTGGGATGGGTTGCATGTGGTAAGGATGTGTTGCATGTTAACAATTGCAACAGAAAGTTCTCGCTCTTCTATGGGGCGACTTACTTCAGACACTGTCATCTGGCCTCCGAGCTTTAGACAGCAAGGTCCTTGTCTACCATATCATTGTGAGCTTCTCATTCTACCCTTCATTTGCGTGAAATACATTACATGTACAGGCACCTGTTTGTATAGAGACATAAAATAAATTCACTTTTACGGCATGTTCATGAAAGCAATGTGAAGTACTAATTATAAAGTGAACAGCAGGGTAGGGTTCTTGCAGAATTTCTAGAACTCGCAGTAAGGGTGTAATAAATATAAACTTTGAACAATACTGGTATGTAGAAAGGGATTTAGGGTAGCCCGAAATTGGGTCTGGCAATGTTTAATACATTTAGGGTTGACATTATGTTTAGCAATGGATCCAGGATTAAAGTTAAGAATTCATTTTGTGTTACAACATAACCAGTACATAAATGCCAATAGAGCACGTTGTAAAAATCGCTGAATTCTTTTAATTGGTAATACAGTGCTACATGTTTCACAAACTGCAGGCCAGTGTGTTTTTACTTTATAAAATCTATTTTAAATGATACTGTGTTACATACTTTTTTTTCTTCCACTCTACATCATGTTTCTGCTTTCACAATACAGAGGAAGATTTTAAAACTACCATTGATGAGTAAAAGATACATGCTGCTCCACCAGCACCTGGAAAATCAAGTTGTACAACACCTTCTCCTGAGACAATTGCTTCACATAATTTTTCTACACTATTAAACTTCATCCCTAGGCCTAACCCTAAACCTAAACCACCTTAATCACAATTCCAACCCTCAGTCTAACCCTACACCTTTGACAAAATAAAGCCTAGAGTAGTCGTTGCAGGAGCAAATGTTGAGTTACTAAGAATGCCATGACAGACTCATATGCTATGAATTTATCTCTGTTTCTTTCCCTGATTTGTTAAAAAAACATTGTAATATGCATTATGAATTACCAGTCCATTGTGCTTCGCTCATATATTGCCAGGCACAAGAGGCCATCGCTTAGAGGTAAGGGGCAGAACATCAAGACTGGAAGTGGAACCTCAAGGCACCCCATGATCTCTCAACAGCAAGCCCTTCCTCTCCATCTCTGGAACAGAATTATAAAAATATTCAATAAATATTAACCAAATATGTAAGAATACACAAAAATTGCATTATTTTTTTCTTCTTCAATTGTCTTCAATGTTTACTTTCTTTTTCAGCAAAATATGAAGGTCAATTATTTTCTTTTTGCTTGTCATTCTGTTTCGTGTATAGGACTCCCCCCCCCCCCCCCCTCCCCCATCCCTTCTTCAAGGCCTTCAAATGTTAATTATAAAAAAAATATATATTGGAAGTTAAAATACACTATAAATAAACACTACAGCAACTTGTTAGTAGACATCTTGTTGCACACATACCATGTAGCCACCCCTGAATCGATACTTCTCATACCAGCCCTTTGCATACCCCTCCAACTTGGCCTTATTTAATGCCCTCACCCATTTAAAAATTTCCTTTTACTTGACTAACTAAACAGGTGAAGTTTTAAAAAGTCCAAGTTAAAAAAAAAATTAAAAAAAATTACCTTTTCTTGTTGTGGTCCGTTTTCTCCAGGACATTCTTGTTTCAGGCACATACTCAAAGAAGCAAGCATATGGTAATACACTCTGTATATTTCCTGTAAAAGAGAGGGGGAAAATTTATTCTTAAAATAGCTAGGTTCACATTCAGACTCAGTGACTGAAAACAACAGTCACTGCTACAATGTTTGCAGTCTAAAGACTGAGAGTAGAGACAGAGTCTTGACGTAAACTAAGAGACATAGAGTCAAGACTGCGCCAAAAAAAGATCAATACTCTAGAGTAAATTTAGAAACCACTAGCATGGCTAGGCACTAGACTACACTACACTGCAGAGTGCAGTATACTTCTTCTCCTTCTTGAAGATAATCTGCCTCCTATCCTTCAATACCGGTACTGAAGATTCTTGCAGATATTCATGTATATATATATATATATATATATATTCCGCCTGAGTGGGGTGTGCAGGTAGACCACTACATCAGGTTTTTCCCCTATTCTTATACGAATAGTGCCGTGGGTTCTTAACGTGCAAGGGTAGTGATTATCCTGTACACGGGGTCTCCTTTTAACATCCTATCCGAGACGGATTGTTTTCCATGTAACATAGCCTGCGTCTATGAAACAACAAGGGGAGGGGCACGTTAACACACAACGCTTGCTTCAGTCATCCGCTTGGGTGCGATTCGAACCCAAGATCTTTGGGCCGACAGGCAGACGCTTTACCGACTGAGCCAATTTGCCTCCTAGTCCTCCTACTGTCTACCGACTAGACTCTAGATTATTTACATTTCTATTTTAATTCTAACTTAACTAAAGTCTAGTGAAATCTTTACTCCAGGGAGCTCCGTCACCGAAGCCCTTCGGAGGCCGTAGGCGGAGTTCTCTGAAGCATGTACATGTATAGCATGGAGTTAGTGAAATCTAAACACTGTTTGGGGGTTTGCAGTTTATTGCAGGAGTTGTTGTTTTGGCTGCTTACAGCTTAGCCTGCCCTTGAAATAAAAATGGAATTTTCAATTCTAAATTTATTAAATCCGACAGCCAAGTCCGGATAACAGCAATGGATGACAGTAGATCTACTACTACAGTATACCACTCCAGCAAAGTATAGACTGATATAGACCGAAAGCTTCAGTCTCTGATATCGACGGTTGTTCTGCTGAAATTGCATCTGGCTCATCTGACCGCCTCTATACATAGACTGAAGTACGTCCTATGGTGACTGAGTGGAACAAATGGTTTGGTTCGGCAGGACCGCGATGAATGAGATATGCAACAAGATTTTACTCTTTACATCCTCATATATTCACTTTGGCTGTAAAATTACATTTGACTATATTAACAAATAAAAAATAACAAAGAAATATCTACTTTGACTTACGATAGCTTGCTCATTTAGATCCTACATTAACAAGTCAACGCAAAGCGTAGCATCCCCTCGCAGGGTACAAATGGCCTATATACATGTACATCAGAACAAGTTAACTCCATTGGACTATACTATTATATTACTAGGCAAGGAAGTTAACCACATTTTCACATATATGACCTTTCACCTTTCACCTACATACTCGGAAATTAAACTTAGCCTGTATTTTGATATCATGTACCTTCATATCAAATTTCATTAAAATCCGTCAAACATTACCGAAGTTATTGATCGGAATCCAAAATTGTTACGGACGCACGCACGGACGCACGGAAGGGCGGACGGCAGTGTTTCTATATCCCCTCCGACTTCGTTGCTAGGGGATAATGATTAATCCGAGAAAGTCTTGTAGTCAACATGATTCGTTGTCAGCCACCTGGTTTTTAGATGATGAATATTCATTTTTTCTAGACTAGTACTAGCCTAGATCTAGTAGTAGTAGTAGACCTCTAGGTGTCATCAATTGTCACTAGATCTAAGTAAAGTACACATTTTGAGTGAAATCAGCTGAGTTTTGTACAGTGCTGTGTGAAATGTTGAGAATCAATAGCACAGCTTTTAATACACAGCCAGGACGCAGGAGGCGAGTTTGCTCAGTTAGTAAAGCGTCTGCCTGTCGAAGCAAACATGGAGATATAGATCTAGGTCACGTCTACTAGAATAGCGCTTAATACACATGTCTCTCAGCGCCTTTACTTTAGGCCTAAGCGCTTTACAACAAGTATATAGACCCTAAATATTATTAGATCAATATAATAATATTATTATGATGAGATCTACTATCCTTCTTCTTCAAGATAATCTGCCTCCGGCCTCCTTCAATACTGAAGATTCTTCAAGATGCCTGCCCTAGAATCTATACCATTGCCATATACTTTAGTAGTACTACTAGGCCTGATTGGGGTGTGCATGTGGACCATTACACTAGGGTCTAGATTTCACTACTTACTAGACCTCTAGCTATAATTTATAGCTACGAATAGTGCAATGAAATGGTTCTTTGCAAGGGTGACTCTCCTGTACACGGGGCCTCCATTTAACGTCCTAGTCAGTAGTCTATCCTGTTTTCCACTTGACATAACCTGCGCCTATGAACAAGGGAAGGGGAACGTTAACACACTTCAGTCATCCGCCTGGGTTCGGGTCAAACCCGGGATCTCCCTTCTTAGATCTAGACTAGACCTATATAAAAATTAAATATTATTTATTATTATTATTATGCAGCTAGGCTATGTATGTTCAGTAGACAGTAGGCCGTAGGGTCTGTTGCGAAAATGCCCGGGAGTTCTAGGGCGGGCACTACATGCAGCTTCCGCTCTCAGGTCGCGCCTGAAATTGGGCAATTTAATTAGATCCGTCTAACTTAGGCCTACCCATGCACTCGCCCCGGCACACGAGCTCTAACTCTCAGGATCAATCTTTGTTTAACCTCCGGAAAGTATTCAAATATCAAAAAACACATAAATATCACCTTATGAATACGAAATTACGGAATAAATATGACATGTACTTACAGGATTTCTACAGAAAACCGTGTCCAGCACCGAAGTTGCCTAGCTGTTACTGTTGTCACAGATAAGGTCGTTGTTTTAGTAGTTGGATATAGGCGCGCGCTAGATCTTTAGAGCGAGCGCGACAGTGCAATTAGACTCGTTCGCGAACTATCAATACATATTATTGACTATATAAACTTGTTATTTGTTTTATGAAACGGATTTTTACTTCTATCGCAGATTGAATTCTTAATTAGATGTGTTATAAATAACAAATTTGTTATATTTATTCGATTCTGAGTTCAATGCTGCGGATATATTCGAGTCTCTTAAGACTTCTGGTGCATTTGAGTCTTGAACAAGACTATTCAGTCGCTACCCTTGGTAGGCTGTTCTTAAAGAAAAGATCCGCAATTGTCAATGACTGCTAATTTGTGTCGATCACGTTGTCATTTAAGTTGTAGGCAGTTTTGTTTGTTAAAGTTCTGTTTCAAAGGGAAACAATTATCTTCATAAGCCAATTAAGTCGAATTCAGAAGAATGTTAGATGGTGCAGAGGTACAGCTCAATTAGACTATACTGTGAAGTGTGAAACTAAGGTCAGTATAGCTAGAGAAACACTGATAATGAATATATGATGATGACGATAATAATAATAATAGTAATAATAATGATAATAATAACAACAATAAAAACTTACAATAATGATAATAAACCATATGTTTGAGGCTTGGAGCTTTTATGTCACTGAGTCAATTCAGTTCGCACCATTTGACAGTTTTGGTTAAATTATGCTCTCGCCAGATCAGACATTGAATATATATTTTTCAAATTAAAACTTTGTATGTATTTAAAAACAAAATTGAATAGCGGAACTACAATTCATCGCCCCAGATTTAATACCGCTTGAACACTCATGCTGAGGATCAATTTACAAGAAACATAATAGCATATATACCTCAAAGTTAATTGTGCTGAAAATAAAGTTTATTGAGGGGGTGCATTAAAAGAAAACATATGGAGATAATGAATAATAACATATGCAAGGTAAACCAAAAAAGCCCAAATCTATACCATATAGATGAATACCAAGGTTTGATTGTTCTAAAACGACTGCAGGATTAAATAAATTCCTATTATGCGAATGATTTATTTAACATGAAATGGGTATACATAAACATTGTTAATATCGTGATATCCAATAATCATACAACTTAAATAGTTTCATACACACTAAGCAGTGGCAAACCCTACACACACAACAGCTCTTACATCTATTTGTCACATATTGCAGCTATAATCTTCTATAGATTTCTTGTGTTAGAATATTCACCACATAATGTGTATAATTTTGTTAGTTTTACACTAAGTATTATGGAAAGACATAAGAACGTATTAGGTTCAACTTTGCATATGAACTGCATAATAAATAAATGGCAGGAAAAAAAAAATCTGAATTCGTCTAATTGCTACGCAAATTCTACCTTTAATTAAACGTAATTAAACGGCGTGATACACCCTTTCCTGCATGTAAAATACACGACGTGTAAATCGATTTCCACACAATCTGTCACGAATGGGATCCATCCTGAATGGAAAAATGTGTATGTACGAAGGTTTACAGTTCGAGATGGTGTTATTGTCCTGTTTAGGTACTTTGTTCAACTTTTTGTCTTGCGCTTTAAATTGATGATTCAAACTTTGTAGAGTGATAGTTCATGCCATTACATATTTTTAGAATCAATTTTTGAAACACGGTTACATTAAAAACATATTTTAAAAATTAATTAACCTAATCTATTTTGAAGAGCGCCCTCGCTTTTATCCTCGTATCGACGTACCTAATAATATTGCACTTTACTTTTATGTCAGCTTTTTTTCTGGTCAATATAGAGGTTTCTTTCAGCTAGATTCCTTTCGTGTGCATTCAACCTTCTTTCAAATTGGTCTTACAACTGATTGGATTCAAATGTTTGTCCCTAAACGGAAAATGTGCTTAAATAGCGCATTGTTCTTAATATGTGTGCCATGTTTTGTCAATGGAGGCTTCTAATTGTAGCCACTGCCCCCTTTTAAATATAAGACGGATTATCTACAAACTATATTAAAACCGTGTAACAATTTAGGAAATTTATCAAGGAGAATTACAAAAAATGATTATAGATTATTGAAAATAAAATTTAGCCATGCCCATACATTCAGTAGAATTGCCTTAGTAAGATATATTGAATGTCTTAAATCATAGATGTAATTTTAATTTTAACGGGGCATTGCAGGAAAATGTGAAAAATAGTATTTGACAAAATATTGTGCATCAGTTTATAAAATGTACATTGTATGAGTGATGAGGGGCAGCATTGTAATGAAAAGCTTGACAATTTTGGCCCTAGAATATAGTTTTTTGATTTTGTTGTTACATAAGAGGGTTTTCATGACATGCAGTGAAATCACAGGGTTATATCAATGCCCTTCTAGTTCCCAATTTGCGACATAGAGTAGAGAACACCGATGTGTTTTGAACAGCTATCATGTTTCTGTGGAGATCCAGAATATAATCTAGCTCTGAGCAGATGTTTTACTTTTCTCGGAATCTCACAGCCCTTAGTCCAAATATTTTTACTTTACTTTAGCGGCGTCCTACCGGTTTCTCGTAATATGATGGACCAGGACTCCCCTCTCCAAATCTCAACAACCCATTTCACATCAAGTCTCTCTTAATCACACCAAGGCACAGCTGGCAGCCATTATACTTAAAGTATGTGGCGTCTACACTCAGGGGCGGATCCAGCCGGCGAAAAGAGGGGGGGGGGGCAAATCTTGAGAAAACAATTTAGCGCCGACTAAGCCGGCCGGTGAAAAATGAAAAAACGCGGGGGGGGGGGGGGGGGCTGGGTGTAGAAGCACATTTTTTTTGGGGGGTACAGTTTTAGAGGAAAAATTTAGCGCCGACTCAGCCGGCTGTGAATAAGCCGGGGGGGGGGGGGGGGTAAGAGCACATATATATTTTTTTAATATATTGGGCCCACTTCGTGAGAAAATATTTAGCAGCGATTCATCCAGTCGGTGAATACGCAGGGGGGGGGGGGTGTAATATTTTGTTTTGGTGTGGGCGAAATTTTTTAAACAAATTTTGGGCGCCGCTTTTGTTTTTGTTTAAAAAAAGGTTAAATTTACGTTATTATCCTATTTTTTTAAACATTTTTTTTTAGACTCGAGGGTGGGGGGGAGCAGGGCCGGAAAAATCGCCACGTGGATCCGCGTCTGTCTACACTGACTTAATGGCACAAACGAACAATTCAAAGACATGAAATTGCAAAAGAATAAATCTCATCCAGTTTGAAGTACATGTAGTACAATACTGATAAAATCGTTTATTAAAGATATAATTCTTCTGTCAATATTGTTAGAAGAAACACATTCTTGGTAATAATATAACGTCGGGTATTTAGGGTAGCTGAACAACAACAAATGTAAAAACACATAGATGTTTATACAGGCAAATAAAGTACAAATTGCATTCAGAGAAAGGATCCATCACCAAAGAAAAAAACAAATTATAATAGAACCTACAAATGTACTCGTTATTACACATCTCATGATTGCAATTAATATAAAGATGTCAATACAAGTTGATACTATGAAAGAGAGAAAAGACTAATGCACATGCCTCTCAAAAAAGACATACAAAAGACATAACCTCGCACTCATCAGAGCGAAACTGGAGAACATAGAGCCAAAATAACTACACTACTTTAAGATCCTTTCCTATCCAATCCAACAAGTCTGAAAATTTGAGACAAAAGGCATCATTATGTAATTGCTGAACTAACCCAATTACACATTCCTCTATCGATTGATTTGCTTGAGAGGAATACCTATATGGGGGGGGGGGAGGGGTATCTGAAATGATATGTGACATCCCATCAAGGAGTGAAAAGAAAAGTAAAGGAATGCAACATGATCGACCCCTCCCACATATGCTCCAACTTGAGATTCCAGTTATCTGTCTAAACAATTAATTCAATTAATAAGAGCAGCAGCCCCCCCCCCCCCATGACATCAGTGCCCTCTCAGTAACTCAACCCATGCTAAACTATTAACACTACCGATTAATTATCAAAAACCAAGATCATGACAAGATATCAGTTGAAAAGTCTTAAACTGCCTATAACAGGAATATCAATTATTTAAGTTAAACTTACACTGTACATGCACTATGTATTTTCTGAGAAGACTGTAGGTATTTGTTTAACCTTTTCCCTCATAAAAGATAGAGAGATTATATAAAACTTGCACACCAGAGAATTCGAAAATTTACCAGCAATTACCCTTAGCTTAATTACCTAATGTGATGGGTGTATTTTTGCTACCAAAGAATACATGCCAAAATAAAATCAATATGATTTTAAAGAATTGTATACATTTGAATGTGGGCAATTCAACTAAAATTGACCATGAGCCGAACTCATGAAAATTGGCAATGACTTCAAAAATATATATTTCCTGTAATGACAAATTTAGTACCAAACACAGGAAAAAAGGTATACAAATAGGAAAAAAATCACCCCGTTCTTTTCTTTGAGTAGAATAATAATATTGAAAATTGTTTACGCATGGCTTAATTGGGTTAACATCTAGCAAGAACTTTAGTACCCAAAAAATGCTCCAAAAAGAAATTGTATAGCAATTGTAAATAGTATAACCTTATATTTAAACAATTATGTTCAGAGTATAAGCTTTTGTTGATACCTAAATAAGACTTATTACTTATTGAGCTCTAAAACTCATACAGTTTTGAATTAAACCGACAATGGGTAATGAAAGAAATGAAATCCCATCGCAAACACAAATAAAAGCAGTCACAAAAAGTCAACACCACCCTCTCCTCAGAAAATACATGCCTATAATTGTGATTTCAAAATTCTGTAATAACCGATACATTGGTTAATTGGTGTGAAAAACCTAAATACAAGCTAAACATAATGAATAAAAAGATTGATTAAAAAGATACTTCATTCTGAGATGACTCTTTTGTAATTAATCAAAATTGTAATAATAATCATAAATATGCATGTAAGTACTTTAATTGCTGATTTAGAGAGAAGGAGAAAAAGTACATGAGAGGGGAGGATAAAAGAATGAAGAATGGAAAAGAGAAGAATGAAAAACAATAATATGGTAAGCAAAAATAAATAAATACAAACATGACAAAGATAATTAAAATCACAGTTGGTTGTTAAGGAGTTGTACGATATAGGGAATAATTGAAGTGCGGTGTCTCTCAGTTCTACAATAGGGTATAGTTATGTGTAGAGAGTTTCATAGTTCATGGCAAGAGGTTTGGCGACGAGTTGGCGATAGAACATAATTCGATCTCGTGATGACTTAAACAGTTTGAGAGAAAAGGATTCAAGAAGGACAAGACGGCAAGAAGTTAGACTCTGGAGAGAAACGAGTGGTTTCATACAACTGTTCTTATCCAAGGATAATACAGCAGACACGTTTCTGCACTTTCTTCAGACTGCAAGATAACTGTTCGGGAAATTGATGTGGACCAAACTGGAGAAGCGTATTCTAGCGAAGATCGGATATATGTCGAGAAGATGTCTGCTAGATCTTCACATGATACTCTGAGATGTCGTAAATGTATAGTCGCTTGCCGGCACTTGATATCATATCAAACACTTGGAAATTCCATTTGAGATCTGACTGTAACTCCCAGAATTGTCGGAGTGGTGCAGTTTTGGATGGCCTTGTGGTCTAGGTGCAGCATTTGAAGGGCTGGTTGGATACACTTGAGGAAAACTTACTTGGATTTGGTTTTGAACTGCTCACGTGAGTAAAATTCCTTGTCCATTACTAGCTAGTACTTCTGTACTTGTCATGTCTAGTATAGTTACATAGAGTCCAGTTTCTCTGCAACTATTCAGTTACATACTGTGCAATGCAGTGAATGCTCCTGATGGTAAAATGTATCTAAATCACTGACTGTTCTTGCCCCTTTTAATTCTCCCGCAAGATGTCTGAAATGACCATGGTTATTTCAAAATCGCATGTCTTTTCAACTGGAGTTCACCATTCTTTGGGATGTGCTGTTTTGTTTTGGGGAAACCAGGTGAATATTGCTCCACTGATAACTTTGGTCGAGCCATTTGATGCAGTGTTGAAGTTGTTCCTTTGCTAGTAGCTCTATCAAATAAAAGAAACAAAAGAGAAAAGAAAAAATTCATTAAATTTTGATAAAAAGTGAAGGAATAATGTAATAACGGATGCTGAGCTTGAGCAAAGCTGCAAAGGAGATAAAAAAAGGGACACCAATCAGACTACTGTAAGATAATTTTTCATTTCAACACTTCGACACAAATTTCCTTACGTGCTTGAGGCTCTATTTTGTTTCCTTTGCAGGACTTTATCTGTTTCAAAGTATTGCAGACTGCTGGCCTCAACTTATCTTCACATTACTGATTTTTTTTAAAATAAATAGTGTATAATATAGGCTTAAACACTATCATTTTAATCTTGAATAAATACCCTTTTTACTTTGTACAGATTAATGTGGCACATTTAAACATTAATATGAATATCATAAGTAGGTGTTTCTTCTAAATGATCCAACAGATGCAATACTAATTGGTAAAGATCGAAAATTACATATCTTGAAAACAGTCCAACATGAAGAAAACTGCACGTTCTCGCAAAACAGTTTATGTTATGCCTCAACAATAACGTTTGCTGTAAAAAGTGTGTGACTATTTCAACACTCTATGCTAGTGGGAGGCGGGTCCGCCAAAACATATATCTTGAGATCAAAGTATCATTAGATTAAATTTTCATTCCTGGATTTTGTACAGTTTGGGGTTTCAGAGATTAAAAAATAAAAAATAAAATCCCTCCATTGTGTAAATTCTATAACGTTATCTGTATTAAACAATGTGAGAGTTTTTTTCTATTGGCATAAAGAGAAATCCTTATGTGACCTTTGACCTACTTACCCCAAAATATAATCAGATTGTCTTCCTAAAGTGATACATACATGTACTATTAGCAGGTTTGAAGTTCATACCTCAAATGATTACTAAGATATCGCAATTACAAGGCTTAAAACGCATTCATTAAAAAAAAAGTGGCAACAACCAAAGGAAATTGGAAATGCCCTTTAGGCTCCCTGCACCAAAAGCAGGCATGGTGTTAGGACTTGTATGTGACAGAAGTAATTGTGAGGCAAAAGAAGCTGTGAAGGTGGAAGGATAGTGAGGATATCGTACATGATCAAGAATGTCAAATGCAATCAGATCTATAAACGAAACTTAAAACAGAATTGGGTGTACAGAATCATGCTACTTGTATGACATCAAAGTATGCCCCCCCCCCATGCCCCATGCTAAAACAAAATTCACTCAAATGTGAAGATGCAAGGAAATTTATAAAATTGACTTAATCTCTGGGACAATCACAAATGATGGGAACACTGGATGTAGCATTAGGTGTATAGGATCATGCTACTTGTATAGCATCAACGTATGACCCCCGCCCATGATGATTATACGACTGAGAGTACGTCAACCATGATCACTGCTGTTAGTGAGACAGCCCCACATCCATTGCTGCTTCGATGTACTTACCACAATATGTAATTTCTTTCATAGCAGGTAATTAACAGGCAAGTGGTTGTGTCTAAGGGTTGAATAACAGCTTCAATTGAGGCAAAGTGTCCCCAGTGCTGTCAGCTGCACCATAATCAGGCACGGTGTTTGATAGGGCTTGTGACAGAGGTAATTGTGAGGCAAAAGAAGCTGCGAAGGTGGATGGATAGCGAGGATCTTCTACATCTTCAAGCATGTTAGGTTTTCTGTTTGTATTAAAAAGATGCAATATGAAAATAAAATTAAAAAATTGCTCAAACGGCATTCGATCACTCCAATTTGAAGATGCAAGCAAATTTATAAAATTGACTTAAATAATGTTTGGAAAAATCACAAATGATAGGAACCACTGGATGCTGAATTGGGTGTATAGGACCACCCTACTTGTATGGTGCAAAGTATAACCCCCCCCCCTATGGCTTATATTCATGACTGAGAGGTCAACCTTGATCACTGCTGTCAGTGTAAGGGTTGAATAACAGCTTCAATTGAGGCTTAGGGGGGGGGGGGGCTAAGTTTTCAGAGGGGGGGGGGGGGTAAAATGTCCTTTTGCGGTAATTGTCAGGGGTGATTGTCCAGGGGGGGGGGGGTAATAGTCTATAGAACCCTATAACAACACGTACTACACCGATGCAGAATTAGGTGCATAGGATCATTACCCCCCCCCCCCTCCCTCCACTATAAATAGCTTTCCCTGAATTGTTCAAGTCAGTGCTTATTGTGTACTACTGTATATGCCCTTTGCTTGTTCGTATACAACAGTAATTACCAAAACAATAACATTTTTTTCTTCAAAAATAGAGTTGGGCCAGTGTATGATCCTAAGAAACAATTTTACCCCAAAAAAATTACATTGATAACTCATTTCAATGAAAACATATAAAATCTGATTGATTAAAATATAATGAAATTATAACATAAAGAACAATTAATATACTCCATCTACAAAATATTCAGTGAAAAATCCTGGTTATTATGTGTTAATGGCCAATAACATGCTGTCTGCTCCATAATGCATCATCATTCCATTTTGCCATTTAATGGTCCCAAATACAAAAATAGATAGTTTTTTTTTTTTTTTTTCAAATCTTGTGATGTGTATTTCTAACAATGAGTTATTCCTATCATTCTCTATCTTTATGAAAAAGAAAAATAATAATTGCAAATTACAATTATGGATGTGGCTCTTTTACTTGTCCTTGCATGGCCCTAGCTTGACTTCCTGCAGGGTACTTTGTGCCAAGTTATTTCTCTAAGAGTGGAATTGATGTGAGGAATATTGCCATTTTCAGTAGGGGCACTGGTCTGAGAATGAAGATTGTCCGCATAAACAAGAATATCCTGGTAAACGCGGACAAGTCTCGACCTAAAAAAATAAGGATAGTCTGCAATTTTCACAGACGTTTTTTCTTCTTCGGTGCTCTGCGGGTACAGGGTTCCTGATCCGCGTGCTGGCAATTAATGCGAAAAAACGGATTCCGCGTAATAAAATACCCCCAGTTCACCGTCTACTTTCTATGGGTTGTCCGTCTTCCCTAGGATTTATTGTTCATAAAAGTGAAAGTCTCTGCGTAAGTGTAAAATGCATTATGGAGCATCATCGCGGAATTCGTTTTTCGCATCACCAACGCGCGGATCAGGAATCCGGATCCTTCACAAAAATGTGGATGATCCTTATTTTTCTGGATGCGAATGGTCTTCGTTTACGAGGGTATTGTCGTTTATGCGGACGATGCTTATTCACGTACCAGCACCCCTACTGATTTTGTGAATAAACCATTGTTGTTGTTTTTTATCGTGTAGGCCTATATAATCTACAGACATGTGCAAGCATTGCGCACAATGAACCGTTAGGCTATACTGTGCAGAGTCCTTGAATGAGTGGTGGAATATTTCACAAGCATGTCAAGAATTTGTAGACAATATGGTCATCTTGACTATAAAATAATTATTTAAAATGAAATACCTACATAGTACATTGGCTATATAGCGCCAAACATGCCAAATGAGGAGAGTGAGCAGCACAAATAGCCGCAGTATTATCAGGGTTTGCCCAAAATTTCATTGAATTATCTGTTGATCTAGACAGAGTCTATCATAAAGTCTATCGATGCGCAAACGCTAGTGAAACAAAGTGCAATGGAATAAAATCAAGCTTTCAAGGGGCATTTTTTGCAGTTTTTCAACGCGATTTTGAGCTGTGACTGTGAGTGTGAATCAGATGAAATTAAATAAGAGAACTGATTTTTTAAGGTTATTTAAACTGCAGTATGATTTTGAAGCATCATAATGATTTAGATCTATATTCAATATTCAATTGAACAATAATCTACATTTTCTCCTATTTATAATTTAGTAGGCCTAGACACCTAACGTTAGATCTAGATCTAGGCTACCGGTATTTGTTTTGTAGACCTAGAAATCTACATGCATGTGTGGAAAAGTACTAATAGGAAATGAGTTTTATGACGTCGATACCGGTTAATTAATGGCTAGACCTTATGCATTGAAATTATAGGAGTGTGAAGTGGAATTTGGTATGCTCAAGTTGGATGAATTTTGATTGTACAACACTTTTTCGTAGAAAAATTGCCAACACACACACACAAATAACGATAGAATCACACACAGAAAAGTTTATATTTGGGACTAGATCTAGATAGGTCTCATGAAATACAAAGGCAAATGGTTTTCAAACAATATTAGTCCTTATAATTAGACTCTATCGATTATTCCTCTGACTTAGATGAATATCTAGATCTATATATTTAAAACTTACGGTATACATTGTAGATATTTTTGGAGTGAAGACAAGGAACCACCAGCAGGGCAAGGCTAGCTGCGCCGACCAGCTGAAACTGTATCTGATGCTAGCTAGCCGCAGGTATGCGAGCTCTGCGGGTCTAGTCTAGCGGGGACGCCGGCGGTCGACGCCAGTCCTGGGCGTACTACAGAGAGCTAGCCTTGCCGGGTCGCGCTAGCTAGCCCTGCCAGCTAGGCCGGACCCATGGGGAGCGTCGGGGATTTAATGCCCCCTTTTCCTTCCAAAAAAAGCCAAGAATTTTCAAATAAATGTTCAGTTTACGCATTCAGAAATGCCTCAGAATGTACCATAAAGCATCTTATAGTTCAATTTTTTTTCCGGGGCCCTTTGGTCCCGGACCCCACGCCGATTTAACACTTCACGCCCCTCCTTTAAAAAAAAACTCTTGGATCCGCCGCTACAGCGGGCGGTCGAGCATGATGTATTTCGCATAGGCTGCACTCCCTGATAATACGCACGCGTATTCCGCACAAGCATTCCCAGCAACTTACTGTTACAGAATATAATCTAAAGGCGACGATCTACAGAAGCTGAGTAGCGCGCGCGCGCTGGAAGACTTGTTTCCTCAGTATCTTACTGGGTCATCACTATACTCTAGGAGACAATATAGTTCCGGTACCTTACTATTGCAACTATATCACCTAGGTTATCAGATTATATTCTGCTCTGATATTAACCGACCACATTGGGTAATCCACTACGGTACTTTGCTGACTCGATTATTGGTATCAGGTGGTCATAGCCACTGAGTGATTTCAAGTTGGGTGTTTAAGGCTGGTGTTAGTGTTTAATAAACACTAACACCAGCCTAAACACCGAAATGGAAATCAGCTGGTGTTAAGGCTTTGACCTCTGAATACCGTCAACTTCCGGTAGCTAGTGTTATCGATTTTGCAAAATTGTCGTCTGCTGAACTGACCTTTGTGGCTGGTGTTAATATTTTACATACAAATGTCCTATTCACTAACACTAGCCCCTAGGGATTAAGCAAATGTTGATTTCCAGTTCGGTGTTAGTGTTGTACCCGCGCACATTCAACGCACGAACGACGCCAATTTATTGTCTGACGACCAAATAAAAATATGTGAAACACGTAATCCTATATTCTTTCGTGTAAAATTAGTTATTTTCTAAGACCAGAGAAATAGGTGTAAATTTATTCTGTACTTTTCATGATATCTTTAGTTTTGATGTACTATTTTTAAATCATCGTCGTAAAATCAAGTATGTGGTGACGTCACGGCTGGTGTTAAGCTATCGATTTTGATATCGGTATCGGGCTCTTAATTTCATCAGCAAATTCTCCGCTCGATTTAAGAGCTCTTGACTGCTCTAAACACTAACACTAACACTAACACCAAACTTGAAATCACTCACTGGCGTACCTATGGGGGGGGGCAGGGGGGGGCAGAGTGCCCCCCTGACGGGCTCCAGGGGAAAAAAAGAAAAAGGGGAAAGAAAAGAAAAGAAAGGAAAGGAAAGAAAAAGAAAAAAGGAAAAGGAAAGAAAAAAGGAAGAAGAGAAAAGGAAGAAAAAGGGAAAAGAAAAGGAAAGGAAAACAAATGGGGAAATTAAAAAAAAAAGACCATGGCCGTACGCACCAGGCGGGGGGGGGGGGGCAGTTGACCCCAGATATTTTGAAAACGTACAGTTTTTTTCCTGAAAATGTAGTGTAGGCCTATACCAAATCCTTCTATTCTACTTTTGAAAATGCAAAAGTACCCTCATGACTAGTTCGGTCGCTCGAACTCCCTTCACTCCTTTTGCTTTTGAGATTCTTCGAAAACTTTTAACGCATCTTTCCCCCTCCCCCACCAGAAAAATATTCCGCATACGGCCCTGAAAAATTAAGACAAATGAAAATAGGAAAATAAAAGTGATATAACAAATTCAAAACTCTTCGCTGGCGCGAACTGCTTGCTAGCCTATTTTGTATTAAATGTTTTCACTTGCTCTTCCCCCTGAAAAAAGAAAAGGATTAGCATTGTCTAGAATACAATTGTGCCTGCCCCGACGGGCCCCGACCTGCAACCATGGCAACAATAACACACAATGTATGTACCAAATGTTACTAAAAGAGACTAATTCATTTTTCTCGCTCGCTACACTCGCTCGCGAATAAAATGAATAGACATTGCTTTTGAAACAATTGTGCCCACCCTTGACCTGCAACAATATAGTCAAAAATGGAAGAGTTTTTTCGCCCTCTCGCCAAAAAGGAATACACCAGTTTACAGTTGTATCAGTGCGCATGCGCAGACATGGGCGCCATTTTAAATGGTGAGTAAACAAAGCCAATGACCTAGAGGTCATGTATTTATGCGTAAGTTAAGATTGCGCCCATGCAAATGATGATGATATCACTGACTGCGCGCTGCGTTGTGCGCGCATATCATCATTTGCATGGGCGCAATCTTAATTTACGCATAAATACCACTGACCTCTGGGTCATTGGCTTTGTTTACTCACCATTTAAAATGGCGCACACAACTGTAAACTGGTGTATTGAATCGCGTTGAACGCGATTGCGTCCATCCTGACCTGCACCAATAAAAACAAGTTTATTTATTAATTTCTATTAAAAGAGATTTTTTTTTTTTGCTTGCTCGCTATGCTCGCTCGCCAAAATGGAATTGACACCGCTAACGTGCCCGCCCCAACCTGCAACAACCAGTTAATAATTATGTACCAAACGTTATTCAAAGAAGTTTTGGTGTGCTCGTGCTCGCCAAAACGGAATTAACATCACCTTAGACATGATTGTGTAAGCCCTGCCCTGCAACAAAAAAATCTGAAATTTATGAACCAACTATCATTACAAAAATTTTGCTCGCTCGCTACGCTAGCTCGCCAAATAGAAATAACACCGCTTTTAATAATCACGTCCCTGACATGGAACAATGAACCCAAGTTTATGTACTACATTTTCCCTATAAAAGAGAAGTGATTTTTTTTTTCGCTCGCTCGCTACGCTCGCTCGCCAAAATAGAAATAACACCGCTTTTAATAATCACGTCCCTGGCATGGAACAATGAACCCAAGTTTTATGTACCATATGTTCCCTACAAAAGAGAAGTGATTTTTTCGCTCGCTCGCTACGCTCGCTAGCTCGTGGAATTATGTGCCCACCACTAACCTGCTACAATATCATTAAAAAGAGAAATGTAGGGGGTTGCCTGCCCGCCAAAATGGGATTGACATTGCCTTAAACACGATTGTGCCCGCCCCCGACCTGCAACAATGAAACAAATTTTATATAGCAATTCATTGAGAGAAAGATGTATTTTCGCTCGCCAGCTAAAATGGGTATAAAATTAGCCTAAACACAATATTGTTCCCGCGCCCTGCATGGGACAATTGAACCAAGTTTACTCTCTTAATTTCTAGGACTTATTTTAAATCCAAGGGGACTTGATTTAGAATAAATTCTTTGGACTTTAAAATAAGTCCTAGAAATAAAGAGAGTTAAGTGGCAATTATTAAAAAAGAAGTGATTTTTTTTCTTGCTCGCTACGCTCGTTTGCAAAAAAATGAAATTAACGTCGCTAACAAGTGAATGTTCCCACCCCCAACTTGCAACAATACCAGTTTATATACCAAACGTTACTTAAAGATTTTTTTTGCTCGCTCGCTCGCCAGAAGTGAAAATTAGCATCGCTTTTTTTTGGTTTTGTTTCGGTCGCTTGCCCCCCCCCCCCCCCCCCCCCCTGACGGAGTACCCCAGGTACGCCACTGGTCATAGCCCCTGTCGGGGGCCTGGCTGGGCTAGACGCTCTTGAATGTTAGAACTTCAGCATTGTCAGAACCATCGAAAAGCCGTCTTGATCGATAGAAACACACTCTTCTAAGGACAATTTTATACACAAATTTGTTGTCTTGCTATCTATTTCTGTTTTTACGGATGGGGTCCAGGGAGTCCCAAGGAACGATGGGTATAATATGCAGGTCATGGCTACCATACAAACGAATTACTTTAGCTTGAAGTTATGTGATTGTAAAGATCCTATTGAAGGGCAGATTACTTGACAAATTAATGTGAAGGAGTCCTAACTGTTTAATAATATGGCGCAGTTTTTCTTACCGAAATAGAAACAAAATTAGATGTAATCTTCTCCCAAAATGGTCAATTTTTCTCGTGCAACAAAGCACAAACGCAAAAGACTGACTAAGACTAATGGACTATAGAAAATAGCCCTAATTAGTGAATCTACACTGCTAACACTACTATTTTGCAAGGTTTTCAAGAGTTTTGTTCAAATAAATAAAATGGTTGCCTGATCCGTACATGCATATCAAGGAAGCTTCTAATTCAGGGTACAGTCGAATAAGGATGTCTAATTTAGGGCAGCTTTACACATGAAAGGCAGTTCCCTTCCATAGTGAAGGTCGTTCCAAGGCTGGAGGATATCATCTCCTGCGTTCCTACGCCGGAAAGGGGCGCAGTCCTCGTTTTTACCGGGGTTGTCCGGCTGAAACGTCAGCCAGGCATCGCTCAAAGTTTAGACTGGATCCATCATACCAAATGAAAGGTCCGGTTGAGCCTGGTGTTGTCTGGTAGGCACCATTCCAAGCCTCATAGACTGGCGGCCCACCCTCTCGAGGACACTTATAAAGAAATCAGTTTGTTTTTTAATCAATAAAATCAGATCGGAAGAAAAGTGAATTAATCATTGTTTATGAACTGCATGTATATGTTCCTATTAGTGCCAACATCGAATTCTGTAGAACTTATTTGCAGGAATTATGAATATGTCATGTATGTCATATCTGTGTAATTTTAACATTAGCAGTGTCCTAGTATTAAAATTATGCAAGGAAACCCGTTTACCTTCTAGACTTCACTGTCAGACACTATTAAGTGACTGACTGACTGACATCTTTTTATCTTTGGTAATAACATACTTAAAATGAGCTGTAACAGGTACATGAGCATTTTGTCTACATCAATAACCCACTACTTGTAATGGCCAAAATTAAACTGATTGAATCTTAATGCAGAACAAGAAGTACGACCACTCGGCAAAAGGGTCTTAAAATCAGACTATTACTTAGGTGATTGAAATCATTCAAATCG